CGTCAGCCTACAGCTGAGATGAATAATGGGACAGATGAAATGAACAAAGAGGTGATGTGCAATGCAGAAGCTGAGTCGATGGATACTGGCGAACTGAAGTAGGTTATTAGATTTTTAGATCATATATTTTTTATTGTTTATGTTCTAAGCTTGCTAGTTATTATCGTTTTAAGTGCGTCACTCGCTGGGCAAGATACTTCTCGGAAAATTCATGAAGTAACTGATATTCGATTTGAAGGTGCATCCATTGAAGGCAAAAATTCACAGAAAATTATTCCAGACGTAATGTTTAATTTTTTACGAAAAGGGTCTTAATATTTTCTGTTTTTTTTTTAGTTTTTCCACTAATTTTTTTATTTCGTGAGACTTATGATGCTTGTTTTGTGGACTCGCGTCTTTTGTTGTTATTTTACTTCTTTGATATTGCATATTTTTGCACTTCTGGGTTTTCTGGAACATTTGGGAGTAAATTTCTGTTCTTTTTAGGTTCTTAATAGACAAAAGGACGGAAGAGAGCATTTGTCTATCACTGATGAGCTTAAAGATGGAAGGTAAAAATTATTTGCTCTTTTCAAATTTTGTTTTATTTTTAGGGCTTCTTTTTATTGAACTGTTTTTGCGAAAGATTGACACGTGGGGATTAACCAGTGTTTTTTGATGTTTTGCTCAATTTTACACTTGAGAATTCCATACACTCGTTAAGCTCTAAATTTATTTATATATAAACTCATCTGGAGGGAAATTCCTTTATATTTAAACGGCTCAAACTAACAAATTTTGAGTGCAGGTGTCCAACGGACTTGGTTACTGCTCGTCGGTGTTTTCGTGCATTATTTGCTAATTCTATAGAGTATGATCACTATTTACAAGCAGCTATGGATGCAGTTGTTCATCTGTGTCATGACTTAGATTCTGTGGTACTAATCATTTCCACCTCTTTTAAAGTGTTTAAGTGTCATGTTTTTGAAGGCAGTCTCATCTGTAAAGTCAATTTTCAGCTGCAGCACGATCATGTTTGGGAAGAAAACCCTTCTGGAATTGTTCATATTTTAAATTTAATTTTTGAACTGCCCTTCATTGGGTGGGTTGAATTTATTGAAGTTGGATTCACTGCGCTTTGTAAAATGTGCGCGAACTTGGGAACTATTGGGCAGACCATTGTGGCTTCTGTATGGGCTGGTTTTGATGCTGAATGGATTCAAGACAAAGTAAATTGGATTCAACAAGTAAGTAATTTGCTTCATTATTTTTGCTTATTTGTTTTCAGTTCAGAAATTCACTAAACTTTACTCGGATTGAACTTTAAGTGTATTTTTTCTGTCAGTGCTAGTTTTTTTTTTATTGATTGGAGATATTCTTTTTTTTAGAGTTGTATTTTACAACATTTTAGGGCCTTACGGTACGAGTTTTAACGTTGATAGATACCGTAGGTGCTTTACCAGTTTTTGAAGATCGTTCCGAACCTTTACCAACCACGATTCAAACTCTTTCGATTTTGTATGAAACAGTGCTAATAAAATCTAAAAGACTTATGCAGAGTAAGTTTTCTTGTTTTTTTATTGTTAGTAAGGTTCCTTTGAAAACAGCAAGTAGCTTTTAGAAAGTATATTAAACTTGCAGTATATTTAGAGGATGTATCACTGCTGACCACCGATTTACCAAGCTTAGCAGATACTCGTAAAGAAGTTGAAGTTCCAAGCAGCTTAAATTCAGGTTTTTTGCTTTTTTGTTTTTGTTAAACATTTAATCTTTCAAGATTTGTCAATCGTCTGTAGTTGGAATCCTCTAGCATTGTTTAATACCAGTTAATTTAATGGTAAAGTTTAATATTAATGAGAATGTTTTAGATATAGTTTGACTTTAACTCTACTTTACATTGGCTTTTTAGATGACACTCAACAGAACACACATAACGAGCAGTGCACTTCCTTATCCGATGTACTAAGGAATCATAGTAAGTCACTTCATGTTTTTTGTATGAAGCTTGTTAACTTCTTGTTCATCTTGATTTTAAGTCTGATCTTTGTCAGGCGTAGTGAGCGTGGGGTATCAAAGGAGCTGTAAATTTGTAAAATTAGAAGGCATTCCAAAATTTTCAAATAAATTCTGCTAAGCAACAGTTATTAGTTCCAAAAATAAGCACTGTGGTATCTTGATGAGCAAACTTTTCCACTCTCACTAATTTAAGGGAATCCTCTCGGAAAAATGGGGACTTTGATTGTTTCTGTGCTTTGAAACCTCGATATCACGCTCTTTCTAGTTCAGAACGTTCAGAACACGTGATAGTAACTAACCCCACCACATGCTTACTGTGGCCTTCTTTTTGAAACGTATACACTGCAACTTCTGGAATATAAAGCAGTATGGGGAGGACTGTATCTGAGAACGCGCTTTGCACTACCGCTTTGAATAAACTACGTCTACTTTTTTGTATCTTGCATTACTGGATATCATTTGACTGCTGTTTTTCAGTTTTAGTTTTATTTTCAAAAATATTTTGTGTCGATCATTACCAAGGAGTAAAACTGCTTTTTTAGGTTCCAGACATGGAGAGGAAGAGGAAGGCCACTGTGAAAAGGATATATTAGATGCTTGGACTGTCTCTAGTAACTGTCTATGCGTACCTCTCTCCGAGTTCCACAATGCAACTCTGAGCGAAAATTTTTGCGCCGATAAAGACTTCTTTTCTTTCATGGTTGGTTCTCACACGTATTTCAATCATTACTTGTCGTACTCTCTGACTGACAGCGTTCAAAACTTCTTTCAGTGGTGAACTTATGATAGGCAGTGGTTTTACTAATTAAATTTTTTACTTCAGTCAAACCAGAATACTCCTACCTATTCCGTGATGCCGAAGTATTCGTTTGTTTTATCTACAGAGGTAAAGCAGCGGTTTCTGATTTTATTCAACAGAGTACGGCAGCAAAATGAACGAAGAAATGCTATTGCTCAGGCCATTTTTCAAAGAGCTATGCTACAACCTTATTTGCAGCTGACAGTTCGTCGAGACCATGTAGTTCGCGACGCTCTCGATGTTGTATGTTATTCGCTTTCTAATTTGTAGAAAGACGACATCTTTGCTATTATGAGTTTCTTTTTTGAAAAAGTTTTTCACTGTGTGTCAAATTTCAGCTTGCTGCTGTTGCGCTTGATGATGTCTCTAACTTTAAGAAACAGTTGAGGATATCATTTGATGGTGAACACGCAGTTGATGAAGGCGGTGTTTCTAAGGAGTTTTACCAGCTTGTTACGCAAGAACTGTTTTGCCCAGATTATGGTTGGCCTTTTTTTTGCATTTTTTCTTT